CTTCCAGTGTTGGTCACTGGCTTGGTCCCTAATTATTTCACAACTTTTAGTGCATACCCCTTGGAAAATATACTGGTGACCTCAATGGTTGGAATGCCCATGCTTACCAGAGGTGGCGGTATTCAATAAGAAGTACGGGTACTCATGTGAACAAAAGTCTGGCACATTTCAGGCACTACGTTCAATTATATGTAAAAGTCTTGCAGTCAAGCTTTAAATTAACCCAGAATTTAGCCAAACACATACCATGCAATGATTGCCAGAGGTTCCCAATCTTTTTCAACAGATGCACAATAGTCCACATACCCCTAATTTAAGAGCATTTTTCTTAAGAAGATAAAGTCTTCAGTGATCAAACTAGGATAAATCAATAAAATCATCCAACCCTATTTGTTTCCTTGTTGGTCCAACTTCAAAAAAATATATTATTTACTGGGGACCCAACTCAAGGATCCCTGTTGGTCCTCAGACCCCAGTAAGAAAACCACTGACCTAAAGCATCTTGTTAACCACCAATTGTTGCAAATAATTATGCTTGTGTGAACTTATAATTTGTATTCTGTTTGCTCTCTTAAGTAAGAAGTTTTTTGCTGCAGCATTTCTCTTTAGACATCATGATGTGGTTTTGCTGACTAAACATTTGGACCATGCAAATGCTGTTTTGCAAAGAGTTTTGATTTGTGTCTGCATTGTAAAACTGGCTCCAACAATACAACAGAGATATGGTCTGTACTGTAAATTCAACTTCAGAAATATGCAGAAAGAATAAAGATAAAGACCACTAGGTGTCAGTATGGAACCATGAGTCACCAAACAACCTCTAGAGAACAAACAGACTGCCATTTTCTCACAAAAGACTGAAATAACATTAATTGCAGCATATAAAGCGTAGTATCAATCAAACTACTTGGCATATGAGAAACACTTTCATAGGAATACAATATATAAATGAGTCTATAGATAGCTCCCAGTGCTTCCTGCCTTTATCAAGTTGGCAAAATGATCAATCAAAATCCAGTGTTTTGTTAATGAATTGCTATACTCTCTGAATTTAAGTTGAGTCCTGTGAATAAATGAGATGCTGATGAGATCTGGTCCCTCCTGAGAGTGACTGGGTGAGAAACATCCTGCTGTTGATCTGTCATCTTCAAGCTGCAGCATCTTGTCGGGTCTCTGCAGCTGTATGTGTCCCTCATCCTTCAGACCACAGCTGGCCTGAGGCCGAAGTGAGCCGAGTGTCTGCTGAGGGCCCTGCAGCCACCAGACAGACCACCACATCAAACATGTCATGTCCCTGAGGGTTTTTCTTTCCTCATGGGTTTAAGTAGTCTTACCTGAGTTGTACTTTTATACAGGAGCACTATTTTGTAAGAAGGGGGAAATACTTATAATTGTGCTAAAATTACTGTGTCTTTTTTCTGACAGACCTACCGGTTCCAAGCATCGGCATACAGTATATAAAGATTAACAACGCGTCTCTACTTCCTTCTGAAATGTCTCAACAGCTATTGGATGGATTGCCATGAAATGTTGTTCAGACATTCATGTTCCATTAACAACTTTGGTGATCCTCTGACTTCTCATCTAGCACCATCATCAGATCAAAACTTTCATTTGTCTAGTACATTGTCACTGTAAACATGCTAATGTTAACATTTAGTATAAAAAGACTATTTCTTGGCAAACAACAGCTGGGAGCAGTGACTGTGTGCAGGTTCATGAAGTTTAATAATTATTGTGAGGTTTGGTAGGTTTGACACCATCGTGCCTATAAAAAATAATACAGATGCTACACGGAAATGCTGGGCAGATGAATAAACTTTGTTTGGCAAGAAATAATTTCAGAATACGATAATCACTGAGCTTTAGAGCTGTTGATCTGTGTATTTCTGAACTTTGGACAGAGTCAGGCTAGCTGTTTCCCCCTGCTTCCATTTGTTGTGCTAATCTGGGCTAACCACGTCCTACTGCAAGTCCAGATCTTTACTTGTAAGTGATCCTTTAAGTTTGGAAAGTCTAGTTGGACAAAATAATAGACTAGAGTTATTTCTCTACATCTTCTTGACACCACCACCAAAGCAAAGACACATACTCAGTGCTTATTTCTTCAGGCAGTCTGCAGGTAAAATCTCTACAGTATGTGGGCAGAATGACAACTTACCTCTGGGTTAATGTAGGTCTTCTTTTAAAGGTCCAGTGTGTAACATTTAGGATGATCTATGGTCAGAAATGGAATATAATATTCATAGGTATGTTTTCATTCATTCGGCCACCGTAGTTTCTCCATAGGGTGAAGCGAGGAAGTTGCAATCTACAGTGCCATCTAGGCACTAAATCCTTCACACTGGCCCTTTAAAGCTCCAGTTAGCTTGACAATGTGCACTGTTCTCCTAGACAAACACAGCTGTAGGTGCAGCCTTAAAAATCCACAGTGTATCACTGCAGAAGGCTAACCTCCTTCAATCCTCTGAATGTATTATCTAAAAGTCAGCTCAAATTCGGGCATTAAATTTTAAATTGAATTAATGAGCAGCTCCACTAAAACTTTTAATGGTCTATCCAATCAGAGAAATGGTGTTGAGGGACCTTCATTAAATGTAAGTTAAGGGATGGCTCTACGGGGGCAAGTCAGACTCCAGGGAGCTGATAAACTAGGTGCTCCGCTCTCCCTGCTCCCTTTTCGTTTGGTCGGGTCGTCCCACTGTCAGCAGGACTACAGGCTGAGGATTAAACAGCTGGCTTCATAGGAAAGAAGACGGCAAATAAAAACGAATCAAAAAGTAGCACGAAGGTTCACCACGGTGAGGAGAATCAGAAAAGTCCCTTTCCCTAATAACTGGCATCGCTTTGATACTAATTACATTTATTTATCGGCAGATGCTTTTGTCTAAAGTGATGTACAAATGAATCCTTTTCTCATGTTTTATGGGTATAATAATATGTCGTGGCAGTATATTTTAAAATACAAAATAGTAAGGCTAAGCATCATGGAGCTGAAAAACAGATCACAGTATTCACTAAATCCGAGCTATCAGAGGTCTCAACCACTGCCTCATGTGATATATTGATTTGGTAAATATAAATCCAATAACTTCTTAATACTTTCCTTGGACGCGTCTTGGAAAGAACAATACTTATAACAAGGAAAACCTGAATGTTTTGAGGTGGCATGTGAAGTGACTTGTTCAAGTTTCTAGTGTTAAACACACACACAAAAATGTGTTTTTTCTGCAGTAGGTAACTGCTCATATTTGCTGAAACTATATCCTGACAGTAGTACATGAGACAGAAAATCTGTGAAAAGAATCCACCGAGAAAAGATAGAAACATGCTGGGTTAAAGGCTTGAAGTTGATTTCTGAGTCTCATTCACAGGGACCTAAAGTGATGGTTTTTGACACCCTGGGCATGGGACTCAACAATTTTTCTTAGCTCTGATTGGTTGTTTTTGTTCAGTCGCAGTGGATTCTTGCAAATGCCATAAGGAGCACTAGGAGGACCCAGAGGAACCTGATTTTTTTCACAGATTGTCTTGTGTACTGCTGTCAGGATATAGTGAAAGTTTCAGCAAATATGTAATAAAAAATAAGAAATTAAAATAAAGTTATTTTATAAAAGTTACGTACTGCAGCTTTAATGCTGTGAAATGGTAACCCTTTTACAAAAAGTGCTAGTTTAGGTTAGTAAAAGATTGCAAGTTACGTTACATACCTCACATAACTTAAGTATGTTATGTAAGTTAACTTAGTAAAAGAAATGGTTTACTTTTGGTTCTTATATGGGACACCAACAGCAATCTCCTTGGTTCATATCCTGTGTTTCTGATAATTTCTCGCTCTTTATACTACATCTGACCTGACCTTGATGGCGGGTGCAACCAAGAAATTATTCTACCTACAGCATCATATTTTGAAGTGAAGGGCAGTATTTGATGACTTGGGAGAGAGAATATGACATTTCTTAGACTTTCGTAGCTTCTGTGACACAGAAACATTATATAGCTGTTTTTATTGGAGTCTCTTTGATGAGTAAACTTACTCTGACATGTAAAAACAGCAGAGTGCCCCATTAACTCATTCTCTCTAACCATTAAGAGGTGGTACTCTCTTGGGAATCCCTACGAGTACAAATACACACTATTTCACTGTATGAGATGTAACAGTTAGTGCACACTCTGTTTGGGTTCATGAGGCTAAACCGATATTCACAGAGACAGAAGTGATGAAACAAAATAACAACAGTGTTTGACTTCGCTTTTATTCAGATAGCAGCATCAGTCAGCACTGTCCTACTTAAACACTGTGGCTCCTCTCAGCCCTGCAAAGACACACAGATTCAGAGCAGAGTCAAACACACACACACATCTGCATACTGAACATACATGTACAATCAGACACACAACGGGCACACACATGAACACACACCTGAATGACCGCACTGAGCCCTTCTTCAACTTTCCTGTACAGAGAGAGAGACACAGAAAGAGAGAGCGGCTTCTAGTTTCACAACGGTGTGTACTAGCCGAACAACCAGCCTGACATCATGAACCTCATCACAGTCTAACAGAACTTTACTGTGTGGATCAGCCTCCACTGAGGTCCTGGACAGAAACCTGAGGAGACTTTCAAATGAGTTCTCAACTGGTGTATTTAAGTCCTAAAAGTGAAATTTATTTGACAAAACAATTCCAACTCAAGGTCGAGTTACTATTTTCTGTTGGCTTCTCGCAGATGGAGTTTGCTCAGTTGTCATGGAGATGAATTTATTGACCTGCACACTTTTAGAACTTCTCATGTTGACTCATTCTTGACCTTGATCCCAACTCAAGGTCCACGTTTTTTTCTGAGTTGTCACCTGTATCACACAATTTCAACACAAATCATCATGATGAGTGAGCTGCTGCAGTGGTTACCTGATCCCTGATCAGTTTAACCACTGAATGATTTATGCTGGCAAGGCGGCATGAATGAGCCTGTAAAGTTGATATAACTTTTGTCTTGTTTGTAATGCAATTCACTGTGTTTGTTCAGTGATAGCTGTTAGCTAATTAACAGGGCTGTACCGGATAGTTGAAAGCTTCATTCATAATGTTGCCGTTCAAATTCTAAATCAATATCTGAATGCTGCACAGGTCGGGAAACGTGGCGATCAGGTTACATAACTGTCACTGTCTCTGCTCTCTGCTAGTTTGTGTTTGTCTGTTTGAGGGTGGGGCTGAGCTACACACACACCACACCATGGATGTATTAAGGAGAACTGGATACAGCATTGGTGGTGAGGTGGAGCCAAAAAAGTTTGACTTCAGGGTCTAAAATTAGCCAGATCTTCAGCATATTCTGTTGCTTGCGCACCACAGACTTCTGTTGTCTGAGCCGATAACTTCTGGTTTAGCCCTCCGCTAACTTGATTGGGGATGAAATGATTTAATTGTGTGCCTCTAGTATAATATACTAGTATAATTTTTTTATGTGTTATTATACCAAATGGATAAAATTCTGATTGTTCACAGGGGTTTTGAAGCTCAAATAAATTATCCCCTGCTCCCTTCACAATGTAAGCATATGGGAACAACTCATTTTGGGCCATGATGTGATGTTGTCATTGGTCACTATATCAAAGTGGCTTCAAAGCCCGGCGATCCTTCTTGGGGCTTCACACACACAGACACACACACACACAGAGCAGTGAGAGGACACAGTGAGATGATTCGTATTTTAAGCTGCATTCACACAAAACCTTGCAACGGGGTTCCTTCCCAAAGGGTTTTGTGGAGGTGTGGCCACATTTATTTGTGCTTGAGAACATCGCTGTCAACCCATCAGAAACTAAAATTTAATTTCTCATATTTACTGCTTTCTTCTCGCCAATGCTGCTCCTCTTCTCATTCAATCTAGCTGGCTGGACCACCGCTGCTTTCATTTTCGTGCGTTAGCATTCCAGCCAACGACTAACTCATTTGATCTGATCAATTACTTAATTAAAGTGAAGATTTTGTTGGAGGTTTCTTTTTTTCTTAAATTTTTTTTTTAGGATGATGGTAATGGTTATAAAGTATGACGGCAGATATGGAAAGCTTTATTACTCAATAGAAGCTTAGAATGTAAAACATTTTGGTACAGCTCTACTAATTAAAAGGCTACTGTAAATACACTACTACCCTAATGTTGTATTTGTCAATTATGAAATAGCTGTAATCATATCTGGATTTTTACTTCATCATTACAAGCCCAGTATAATATTTCTATGATACCCCTGTCTGGACTCACAGTGAGATGACCATACTTTACCTTAATCATCATCACTATAAATCATATCACTATGATGTTGTCAAACTAGAAGCCAAGGTGAAAAAGAGTGAGAGAAAGAGAGATAACATTGTCTGCGGCTCTCTCCTGACTGTTGTTGATTTTCAGAGTTTAAACTCTCCTTCCTGTCCTCAGATCCTCCTGACACTGTGTGGAGGAGGCCCTCCCTGCTCCGCCCATCAGGACTGTAAACACACTGATAAATAATACTGATTGTTGGAAGGGAAAGTCAACAGGGAGCTCAGTGATTGGTGCTTCGCTTCAGTGTGCTGCACGGCGTGGTGGGGCGGCGGCTTCACAAACCGACGGGACTTCAGCAGGTGTTTGGGCAGACACAAAAAAAAAGCACACCGCACCAGCTGCTGTCAGATTCAGTCGTAACAAAACACTGGAAACAATCTGTAGCAGCACGCTCAGGCTGATGTGGAGATACCCTGAATATCAACCGCACGGACGACCTCCAGCCATCCTTGCACTTAACTTCCCTTGTCATACGAGGAGGAGGATTTATTCTGATCTGTATCGGCTATCAAACAAATTAAGCAGCAGCAGCTGGTCGGCTGGCTGGCTGCTCGCCTCGGTATCTGAGTGTGTGTCACTTGTCACAATGAGATTTTCAAAATCTGCGCAGACATGTTTACCGCTTTGTCTTATCTTGCCGCCTGGTGACGATTTGCATTTGAGTCGGGGTTGCGCTGTCAGTCAAACTGCTGCCGCTCTTTGTTGGCACTTGGAAGGCGTGCAAATAGGATGTAAGCCCACAATGTCTCACATCTTCAGCTCTCCTTAAGCTTTTTGCTAAACACTGTCCTGGAGGAACACATACACAGTCACCCTTTTCATCTACCTGCATGTACACACACACACACAAACATACATAATGTTACACGCAAGCCCACGACTCTGCCACTGGTCTTACAAATATGGCAAGGCATTAAAAGTCTGCTTTTCTTTGCTTGCTGTCTGTTAGATTTCAGGGCCAGAGCTCAGGCCCCCACACAGCCAGGACCTGGGCCTGGCAGTCACTCATGTCGTCGGTTACAGCTTTTACATCCTGGAAGTGATCTCCTCGTGGATGATCTCTTCTATCCACAGCAGAGGACAAAGAATGGACATAAAGACCCTTGCAGTCCCAACACTGAGGGTCAAACGTTCTAAAAAAGTCTGAGGGACTCAAGTCTCAAAGTGTCCCAATGGCCTCAGGTGGGCTGTCCCGTTTCCTGTGCCCCCCCTCCCTCCACAGCCCATGAAGCGTGTCAGTAGTTCAGGGCCGGGGGCGTGAGGGTCTGCAGTGGTGGCTAGCTGTTGTTCTCAGCTGTCATGTATTTTAGGGCGGCGAAGCCGTAGCGTCGCGACATGTTTTGCTGGAACTCCTCCTTCAGGGTTTTGAGACAGACCCGGTACTGCTTGTTGGAGCGGAACTTGGTGATGTCGAAGCTGGGCGCGTGAGGCATGTGGATCATGTAGGCGTTGGGCAGAACCACAAACTCGTACTCCTGTGGACAGAGAAGGACGGGAAGACGTTTTTTTGGTTGTTTTAAATAAGTAAGCAAAGATGGCTGTTAAGAGTTATAAAGAGGTCTGTCACCAACAAACCAAGTAGTAACAGGACAAAATAAACTATAACACCAAACTGACTGGCAGTGCCATAAATGTAAAGGGATGTGTTCTGTGACTGTGATCCCGGTGTAGCCTAATAATCAAAGAAATGTTTCCTTTAGCTCATTAGTTTGTCTCATCTTCCATCAGTTCCACCATCAAAACCGTTGACTACAATTAGCGTTCCACGCTTGTATGCCTCCGCCAACTAGTCAAGTTGCAGCTTACACCCATGTCTGTGCAGACTCATAATGTATATAATAACAATGTATGCAGTGAATGGAATGGACTTGGAAAGGATTAAATAAAAGGAATAGGTGCATTTTCTGGCTAAATGGCAGTTAGGGTTAGGAGTTAAAATGAATGAAGGATTATCATAGATGTATTGGCTGAATAGGTACACATGTACTCAAGTATGTTTCATCAACAGATGGTGTTGCACAATGCACAGCAACCTGTAGAATATGACATGCCCATTTTTTAGAATGAGGCAGGAAGTGAAAGGCAGAATGGATGATGATGGAAGATGACAGCCCGTGCTACCTAATGTTTATTCATTGGTCATCCCAGTCAAGTGTGTGTGAAATCTGGAATTCATTCTTAAATTATGGCTAAAAACCTACTTTGAGGTCACAATGACCTTTAACATTGCTGGTAAACTAAGCTAAACTAAGCTGAGCTGCGGTTTGGTGCTGGGCAGGTAATGCACAGTAGGTTTATCACAGCTTTGTCACTGAAAACAGCTGCTGCTGCTGTCAGAAACAATGAGAGCAGAGTCTGTGGATGGAGAAACCAAAACAATGATCTAAAATATGCTAAAAGCTTCGTAGAGCAGGGGGAACTGCAGACTGGGTCATTATTCTCTGTGGGTTCATCTCTACCAATGTCACCTTACACATTACATATAAAAAAGGATCCTTCTTTAATACAATAAAATACAATTCGGGGCAGCTTTACTGATAAGATTACAACTAATTTCCCATCAGTTACCTTTATTGCAGAACCAGCAGCAGAAATCAGGAACCAAGACTCTCAAGCAATCACACTTCACTTTGACAAGATTAGTGGGGCTGCTTCTATAAAGGGCTTTTTCATTATGAGTTGGCATTTCATTGAGTAGGTCATTGCAAAGACAGATATTGAGTACTTCATCCAAACCTGACCTAACACAACTTCATAGAACCTTAATAATAAAGCTTAATCATAATGAGATGCATGGATGGACTTTTTTTTTTTTTTTACAGCTGTACATTCATAATACAAATGTACTGCGCAGAACTGATTTCCTAAAATAAAAACACATGTTAAAAAAGAAAATGTTAAAATTAGACTTTTTCATGAACTGCAGACACTTGAGCACACAGTATAGACAGCAGATAGAAAGTAAAAGTTGGGTAAATGGAGGTGTTACCTGTGCATCTAGCTCCATGATGTGAGCCACCTTGTTCCAGCCGAAGCCCACGAAGCGGCGGTCGTACTCAGGACTGTCCTTCCTCACCATGACGTAGGGCTCAAAGTCAGCCTCCCACTGCACCCTGTAGGGCGTGGTGGCTGTCCGCCATTTGGCAAAGTTAGTTGGAGCATGGCCTTTAGTCCACACGTGGTACCTGGCAGGAGAGAAGGTTTGATCAAACTATTGTTAGAACGAGTGTGAGCCAATCTTTGTGAGAGACTTATAGTTTCTAAAATATTAGGTGGCAAACCTCTGTCCGTATCATAAAAAATCTAGACTCTATTTAGAGTGTTTGTTTACCTCACACTGTAAACCGAATCATTTTTGATGGGAAAAAAGTTGTGCTGTCTCTTTTTCTGTCTGTGCCATCACACTTCTAGCCGGGCAAAGAAAAGTGAGTGTGACTGAAGGAGGCGTGACTGCCTGTAAGGGCTGCACACTGGAGGAAAATAAACATCTCTCTTCTCCGGCCATACACAAGAGTCCTACTGGCATGTTGCTGCCTCAGTGGGTCGTGTAGCAGGGCCATGTTGCTTAAACAACCACAATTATGGCTATTTTTCCACTGAGATATATGTATATAATGGTTATTGACTCATCTTACCTGGAATGAAATACAGTAAAAACTATATTAAAGGGTCATTTCACCCAAAACAACACTTCCTCCGTAGGTGTGCTAGCGTTGGGGTTACAGTGCAATATAATGGCAATGGCGAGAAGATAGAAAGACGCTTTGGACTGGAAGCTTGAAGATAGTCATTCCCAGGGTCCCAAAGTGTCTGTATTTGACGCCCTGAGAATGAGACTCAACAATGGATTGTTATAAATGCATTAGCCTAGGAGTGACCAGAGGAACCGGATTTTATTAGCACAATATTTCTGTCTCGTGTTCTCTGTCAGGGATAGTGAAAGTTTTTTAGCAAATGACAAAAAGTTATTTTTATAAAAATGCAGCTTTAATAAATAAACAATTAACAGCTATAGACAGTCAACCACAAATATGACATTGTTTATGTATTTTCTTATTTTTCATGATAAAGTTCACAGTGGCATTCCCACAATTCAACTGTACACCCACAGTAGCTGTCCATCATTTTAATTGCTTATTATCTTTTTATTTGATTTTCGCGTTTTTTCTATTGCCTGCTCAGCAACTGCGAGTGAGTCTCTCTCAGAGTGCTCTTAAGGATTAAGTTGAGATCTGAGTTAATGAATGAAAAGTTAAATAAATAAATATTACTGATTTCTACCACGCACAGGGAAATGAAAAGAGTTGCTGTAGTGTTTTGTTGAATGAAAACCTGAAGGCTCTTGAACGTTGCTGGTTATAGAAAGAGAGAAGTGGATCACCTAAAGGTGAAGAGTGTGCCCATGTCCAGCTGAGAGAGCAGCTCAGCCTTGGACTTTGGGTAAGACAGACGATATCGCAGTGTCTCAAAAGCTGGAACCACCAAAGCTTTCTTGGTGTTGGCCATCTCCAGCTGCACCACTGACTTCCTAAAAACACACACAGATAAGATTAGACTACATAGAGTATAGCAACAGTATAGCATGCATGAATAATAGCTCATTATGTGAGAATGTGTTAAAAAATATGAATTGTTTTTCTAAAAGCCAGGCGCAGAGGTGGAAGGACCACTGGCAACTTAGCTGGTTTCCATCTGATTCCTTACCTGAGGTACTCATATAGGCCGTACATGGGCAGGAAGTCGATGTCTGATAGGAACATGTAGGGGGTGTTGACCTGCCGCATGGCCACATTTCGCAGTAGGTTGACTGGGTAGAACTGTCCCTCTTTGTAGACAATGTGGTAGCCGACGTTCCCGCGGCTCATCAGCACCTCAGAGCCCTGAGCGTAGCGCAGGAACTGCTGGGCCTCAGCGTCAGACAGGTACAGGGCCAGGCTGATGGGGCCTTCCCAGTGCTTACAGATGGCCTCCAACATTTGGAGCCTGCAGGCGGTGGGACACAGAGATGGGTGAACTCACAAAAATGTCTTACTATACAACACTATACATTGAAACAAAGACCCAAAAGTGAAAGAAGTGCTTTTCTGGTGAAAGATAATAACTGTCCAAAAGATAGCAACTTGTGTGAAAAAGCTACTAACTGGTCTGAACAAGATACTAACTAAAATAATGAGTTGTGTGAACAAGATACTCTGTGATAACGTGTGAACAAAATACTAACTTGTCCAAACAAAATAACTTTCTATGAACAAGATACTAAGTTGTGGGAACACAATAACTTACATTCTATGCCAGCTTTAGCTACCTGACAGTTTTAGATACACTATACTGCAGACGGATTTTGGTTTGCATTAAAAAGGTATTCAGGTTCAACAGCCAGCTTTAACCAACAGCTGTACATAAACTTTCCAATATCAAATAAACTTCTGAATACACATCCTGTGTAACGAAGTGTTCCAAGAAACCTTTGGTAAATAACAAAAATGGGCAGAGTGCCCTTTTAAGACGCGTTGATTGTGTTCTGGTGGCTGCTATCTATTCATCTGGTAGAATCTGGAAGATCTGAAACAAAGTATTGAGCCTCGTGGCTGTTTCCAACTGTTTCTGTTTCTTTGTGACACAACATAACCATTACACTTAGCCACTGCTGCCCACAGCTTTAATAGCTTTTTGTGATGATATGAAATAATGAGTTACTCAACCTTGGACTTGATATGCAAATGAGTACTGATATTTGTTTTATATTTGTTGCATTAAGGAAAGCTTGAGACTGCGTGCCTTAGCTGGAGACTTGGCTTTGCTTTGAAGAGTTGAGCTTTAATAACATTTTGGTCAGGCCTGCCTCACTCTGAATATGCAAAAGACACCTGCTGTACAGTAGGGATGCTAGAGAGACAACGAGAACTAATACATATTATTGTTTTTCCCTTTACTGAGCTAGGTATATTTCAGTATTTTAAACTCTGAAGCCTTTATGCTTTGATTTGTAAAACCAAGTTTTGTCAGTCCCCTTCCCTTCTCTTCCTCTCAGTTCCTCTGCATGCTTCCCACCTCAGTAACAATTCATTTGGTATTCTGTTTTGAAGGTGAGGTTGTTTTCCACATGTCTAACACTGTTTTGGATCTGGAATATGCCAATTCTTCCCTACACAGAGCCACCACGGGCCTCACTAAAACAGGAAAAAAGCCAGCGAGCTAGTTTATTTGTATAGGCATAAGTATGTAACATAAAAAAATGCCACACACCACATCATTTATAGCCTAAGATAATTTGCAATACCTGTCCCTAGATGAGCTTTTAAAATGTATAAAAATCAACAACAAATACATGAGACAGTACAAAAGATACAAACTTAACAATAGTTATGTACTGGATCATTAAAGACTACATGACTGACTGATTTCTCTTCAAGAACTGTTTGAGTTTATAGGATCCAGTTTGTGTTCTTTAGGTAAGGAATTTTGGGAAGGAAGGGATTTTAATCCCCAGAGGATTTACAGAATTACAGCTAAATTAAAACAAAAAGAAAACATTTGAGGGAACGATCAGTTTTACAGCAATGGTATGGGCAGGAATGTTCATCACTCTATTGTACTTTAATTAGTGCTCAGATTCTAAGGTTACTAAACAAACTAGCTCTCAGTCTCTGTTGGTTTCAAGGCTTCATTCAGCCCCTGTCACCATCCTTGAGCCAAGTGAGCAAGTACAGGAGGACATTTTCAGACTAGTAGTCGACTTAACTTTTAGTCAATGAGTCTTAGTTGACGCACTTTTAGTATAGTCGCAGAACAACAAAACAAACTCCGTTTGGGAGCTGCGCCTTGTCACCAGGACTAAAGTAATCCTACTATAGAAGCAGTTAGAGACCACTATATGTACACTAGAGAGTCTTACGATGACACTCTAGCTTTAAATCTTTCTACTTGAAGTTGCACCTCTGATTGCAACGACTGAATTAGAGCAATAAAAAAAAAAATTAAGTGCAATATCCAAATTGCAGAAGCTGTAATTTTTGGATAGAGGTAAAATGTTTAACAAAACAGCATTGTAATGAAGTACTGTAGTTTCGCAGAGATGCCCTGGCCTACAAACATGTTTGTTAGGTAGAGAACCCCCAAAAATGTCCCATCATGATGATTTTAATCGTTTTTCAGTGAAAATTAAATCTGTGAATAATTTCACAGTATCTGTCAATATAACCACAATGTGATGTTTTCACCATATCGTGCAGCCCTAGACTGAATCCCACTCGCCTACCAAGCGTGTAGGAGAAACTACGGTGGCTGTAAACTCACAAAAAGCCCTATCTAGAGTTTGATTTGCCATTCTGGGCTAGGTTAGAACCATGATAGTTCAACATGGCGGACTCCGTGAAGAGGACCCGCTCCCTCTGTAGATAACTGCTCATTCTAAGGTAGTAAACATAACCATTCTTATTTTCAGGTGATTATACACTAATGAAAACATACCTATGAATATTATATTCCATTTCTGACAATAGATCCTCCTAAATGTTATACACTGGACTTTTAATTTGTAAAATGTACTGCAAATGAGCTATTGGTGTTCTTCAGTATGCATTTACTCCAAATACAATGGTTAGATGGTTGTGGACAATGAAGTTAAGGTTGGGGTAAGGTAAACTAGTTCATATAAAGTGTTGTTTGACAGAGTCTAAAGCCGGCAGGAGTGTGTTGTTCCAAACGGCCTTACTGGGAGGTAGAACAAAAAGCCTGCTATGAAAAAGAGAGGCAACAGTTGTTCATCACTGTGCACTCCCTCTGACAGTCTCTCCTTCAAGGTATTCATAGTGTTGCACGAAGGAAATACTTAATTTTAAAAAACAAATCCTTTCTCACCTCACACACCTGGCCAATCTGTGTGTAAAGTTGGCAAGCTCATAACATGGGAATAGAAACACAGTGGATTTTTACCTCTTTAAGTAATATATGTTTCTGTTTAAGCACTTTTTCAAGCATTCCCTACCTCAATATTCTGAAGAGCTACTGAACCGGCCACAGCAAGTTACTGATGGCACAGAAAACATCAACAATAGCATATTTTCTTACTCTAAGTAAAAAATTGGCTATATGGATAAAAGGGACACAGTATCCAGTGGTACGAGTGAGGCTTTGTGTTATTTGTGCATCCCCAGGTGCATTTATGCAGAATCTACACTGGTCTTTATGCTCTCTGGCAGCTATCCTGTAAATTCAGTGTTTTCTTATTTTCTTGAATCTCGGTGTCCTCAAAGCAGAAACTAAGCCACTGTCAACCTGTGGAGATAAGGAGATAAAAACAAACACACTGTGCAGAGAAAGTAACAGCAGCTGCTGATTCTGAGGACAGACAGGATGGTAATCATATCCTGTTAAGCCTGTATGTGTAAGGTTTTTGTTTTCTTGTCAGTGTGTGTTTTGAGCGAGCCAGCATCAGCTGAGCTTGTTGCATGTTTGAATATTCTATGCCATTCATCCTGCTGTAAAATTAATTCCATGCAACTTTCAGATTTGATTACAGAAAATCAGTTATTTATTACACAAATTAACATGTATGTGCATGTTAGCTTTCATATGCATGCACATATTCTGGCCCCTTGTTCTGAGCAGTTCCACCATAGAGAGATTTCTCTTCCAAACCTCTTGCGTTTTTTTTTTTTTCCTTTTCTAGGAATTATCTCATAACCCCTCCAATTTATCTGGTGACACGTCAGTGGCGCACAACGTTTTTTCCTTCAGTAACCCTTTTCTATGATTTAGTAAACTGATGACCCCTGATTAATAGGGCTGTGTATTGGCAAGAATCTGGCGATATTTTAAGTATCACGATACACAGGTTAAGATTCTGTATATTACGATACTGAACAGTTATATCTATGACAGTAACGTCCAACATCACAGCCCTCAGTTTAACCACAAAATCAATAGTGTTTTTGAGAATCGATACAATATCACAAAACAAAATATTTCTTACACCCCTACTGATTAAGTGACATATTTTATGGATATTTAATATTATATTCAATGCATAACATGAGACCAACTGACAAACACAAACAGTAAACACAATAACTGCAGGACGATTGTATAAAATGAGAGATTTTGATGACTTTTGAGCAGATTAATTCAAACATACTTAATAGGCTTCTTATTTGACAAATTCTGTTTTTTCTTTTCATTGTTCTATTATCTATATGGTTGTTTTAACGTATATATCAACTGCAAGACAAGGCTGTTTTTAAGAGAGTAAAGGCTC